CAGTGCTGGGATTACAGGCGTGTGCCACCATGCCCAGTTTCAGTGGCCAGCACAACGCAGGGCTGGCACAGCATGCAGTACGGGGGATTGAACCTGGGTCCTGACACTTACCAGGCAGGTGCTTAGACTGCCGATATATCTCCCTCGCCCTATAGATATGTTGTATAAGGGAAAGATACTGCTCAAAGGGAATTTACTTGATCTTTCTTGAAAATCATGGCGTACTCTTCCTTCGAATAAATCACTAGGAATGTCCCCCCATACCTTATTGATGACAACTGGCATTTATAGGGGAACTTAAAAAATCCTGTAGACCAGCAGTTTGGCTTCATGTCAAATTTGAGTATGTTTATTGTTTTCTAGTGTTTGTTTGTTTGTTTAAACACCTGGGCCTTCACAGTGAGCTACATCACCAGTTGTTTTTTTTTTTTTTTTTTTTTTTTTTTTTTTTTTTTCCGGAAATGGGAGAGTTGAACTAGGTCCTTGTTCTTGCCAGGTAAGCGCTTATTCTGCTGAGCCATCTTTCCATGCCCACCAGCTGCTTTTAAAAAATTATTTTCTTAAAGACAGATTTGTTGATAATTGTTTAGATTAGGCTTGAAGTTGTCATCCTCTTGGCTCAGCTTCCCATAGTTCTGAGATTACAAACCTGCGCTACCAGGCACAGATTATGAGCTTTATAAAATTGCCCTTGCCCTACTTCAAATAAACAACCTATTTCTATATCCTTCTGATTCATAATCAGTGTTAAGTGAAGGTTAGTATCACACCCCGACACAGTAATTTTGGATTTCTCTAATGTGAAATGTGTATCTTTACACTAGTTTAAAGGTAACAGAAAAGCTTGATTTCAGCAAAAAGCAGTATTAGTAAATACTTTTGGCTTCTGAGGAATGTATATTTGAAAACCTTCAATTAGCTTATTTACTCAAAAGTATTGACTGACCTATTATCAGAATCTAATCATTTTACTATTAAGAAAGCAGCAGTGAGGGTAACATGAGTGAACTGACCAACAACCATACAATGCAGTTGCTATAGTGCTCTAGCAGAAAATATAGACATTAACATGTATATGAGAGCCAATTTCTTTCAAGAAGTAAAACCTAATCTGAAACTATCTGAAACATGGAGATGAATGAGAACACACTAAATTAAGAGATGCAACAAACTGGAGAAAGAATATTCTAAGGAAAGAAGACTGTTTATGATGGCCTGGGTTTGGGGAAGCGTGCATTTAAGTATAGAAAATTTAAAGATGTTCCAACTCTACCAAAGCACCTTCTTAAGCAGAGCGCAGCTGCTGGGGCTCAATCCCCAGTGGGCTATGCTGGCCTTGCTCCCAGCATGCTGAGTCAGCGGTTGAGACTGGGTGTGGCAGCACACCTGTACTCCCAGTGCTTTAGGAGGCTGAAAACCGAGTCCGACCTACATAGTGAAACCCTGTAGGTCCTGTATACCCTGCACTAAATGCACACAAAAAATAAAAATAATAAAAAAGATATTTCAACTCACTTATTTTATATGATTAAGCCAAAACTGACAGGTAATTTAGGGATAAATTTAAATAAAAATAAATGTTCCCATTACCCATAAAAGCAGATATACGTTCGAAAATTAAACCGAGACCCAGTTATTTATTAATGTGTATAATTGTATGATTTAATGGGCAGAGTTACAGGATGCATTGACTTAGGGATTTTTTTTCAGGTTTTATACACTGACAGTAACTAACTTAGTTTATAATTCCTATTTTTTAATGAATTAAATATTTTCAATGCCAGCTATTTAGAAAAAGTAGTTGGTGAGAACATAGTAACATTGTCTAGATTTTTCTCTTTTGCTTCTAAAAATATATTGAGATAACAGAAAAGTATAGCCAAAACTTGGAGCTCAAATCTTTGAGGGGGTGGTATGAGAAACCCAGTGCCTCCCAGCAAGCTACACTCCCAGTCCTCTTGTAAAATTTTGGGTACAGTCTCATTAAGCTATTAAATTGCTCTGGCTGGGCTCAAATTTGTAATCGTCTTGCCTCAGCCTCCCATAGTACTGAGATTACAGGAGTGTGCCACCATACCTAGCACAAGTGTTAAATCTTAATACATCACTGCTTTTCCATTCAATCTTTATACAAATATATATGATGATTGAACTATTTCCCTTTAACTGGTTATGAATTTGGATTCATAGACTTCTCTCATCTGTTTTTTTTATTTTATAGAGTGCAAAATAGTATTAACACAGAAAAATTACAAGTGATACACAATTTCACTTCATAAAGTAATATGAATTTCACAGTATCTGTTGTAATGGATAGTGTTGTCTTCCAACAGTTATTCGTATTACCAGATATATGCATGCAAAATTGGAAGAAAAATACAAGAAATTAAGAAGAGAAAAAGTAAAAACAATTCAAAAACAGACAAAACAAAATAAGCATTAACTACTTCATTCCACAAACCAGCAAAAATGCACAGTACAGTTGTCCAAACCATCCTGCTTACATACAGACATATCTCTTTACTCCATTTCCTCTCTTGTCCTTCTCAGCTCAGTAATTCTTTCCTTTGAAATAAGTTCATTTCCCTTTCCCAATATCTATAGTATCCTTCAGATTCCATTTTTCTCTTTCAGCTTCTTACACTAAGGAGACAATACTATGTTTGCATATGTGGGTCTGATTTATTTCACTTAAGAGTACGATCTCTAGTTTTATCCATTTACTGACAAAAGACTCAAATTTATCCTGTTTTATAGCTGAACAGTACTCCATTGTGTAAAACTGCAACATGTTCTTTATCTTCTGTAGGAAAACGTAGGTAGCAATCTTAAAAGACTTTTCTCATTTTAATCTATTTAGAATTTTTGCCAGGTGTGGTGGTGTATGCCTGTAGTCTCAGTACCCTGGAGGCTGAGGCATGATGATTTCTGTGAGTTCATTCCAGTCTGGGCTACACAGTGTGTTCAAGGGTACCCTGAGCTATACAGCAAGACCCTGTCTCAAAAACAAAACAAAACAAAAAACCAGGAAGAAAAGAGAATTGCTTACTATAATACTTTTATGGCTTCATTTTTTTTTTTTTTTACACTGAAACCCTTAGTCTACTTGGAATCAATCTATACAGATGTTTATATAAAACTTATTATTTCTGATACCCTTTCATTTTCCATTCTTTTCAACTAGAAAGTCTTTTCCTGTCATGAATTAAAAAGAAAACTGTAAATTTATCTGTGAATTTGGGTCCATTCCAATATTTTGTATTTCTCTCCTGTGTTTCACTGGCAAGGAAAAATAGCTACTTTTTATCCTTTTGTAATCTCTCACTTTTCTCTGCCTCCCCTACAACTGTCACCAAACAACAAATTAGTTAGCCTTCTCTTTGTATAACTCAATTTCTAGAATTTTAATATTGTAAAAAATATACATATCTAGCCTTTGACAGAAAATTTTTTGCTAGTCCTGTTTGAGAGAATCATGTACAAAGGTTGAATATAATTTGGTAAACTGATTCTTAGGTATTTCATATTTGTGATGTTATTGAAAAATGTTTGAAATTTCACATTCCTGGTACAAACTACCTGTTCAACAGATGTACAGTTGAATAAACGAAAAGAATTCACATTTTTACAAATATATTTGTGAAAAGCTTACAGAAGGATATTAAGACCATGACTGATCATCAAAAGGAAAATACTGAAATGTCTAAAGATTCCGTTTCTTAACCTGCTTATGTTCTCCGTTTTGTGAGCCATTACTCCCTTTTTATCTTCTCCGCCAAAACTTTTGGTACCTTCAGAGTATGGATGTCCCCGACTTAAATACTACATGAGTGAGAACTAGGAGTGAGAGAGACAAAAGAAGTGAAGGAATTGGCTCATATGATTGTAAGGAGTGGCAAGTCCAAAATCCATAGAATAGGCCGACAGATTTAGGATTCAGGGAACAGTGAAGTTTCCGGTGTCTAATTTCTGCTTGGCAATAGGCTGAAAATTCAAGGAGGTTCTGTTGAAGTCTTACGGAGAAGGGTTTCTTGGCAAACACAAGGTTTTGCCTTGAGGTTTTCAACTGATAGGGCGAGGGCCATCCCATCACTAGAAGGCAGTCTACCCAACGCCTCCTGGTTCGCCTGTTAACTACCGCTAAAACATGCCTTCACCACACTGTGCCTGAGCAACTTTTATGTTGTCTTCAAACTCTTCCACCTACAGGAGCATGATCCAAGCTCACTGAGAGGGGGTGGCCTTTTTGAAATGGGGGAACACTGAGTGGATGAAGGGAGGGGTGAGGTCACTCATTTCATTTGGTGTCTTAGTCTTTCTATCCCTCAAACCACTAGGTCTAAAACCTTTCTCCTGAAAATGTAATCCTCAGACCAGCATTATCTGTCCGCCTGGGTCTCGCAAAAATGTATAAAACACCATTAGCTCCAAAAGTTGTCATTTGGGTTTTTCTGTTGGGCAGTTTTCTACCATCTTTACCTTTTCTAATCTGTGTGCAATAAAAAGTTCTTTTGTTGTTGTTTTTTCAAAGCTTGCCTTTGCCATCAGAAAATAACGAGGCGACGTAAGCTCGCCTCTCCGGGATTCGCCAGCGTGGGCTTCCGGCGGTTGGGCTCGGCTCATTTCAAACAACGAAAGACACCAGCAAGAGTGAAATCCGGCCGCGCTTTCACGCCTCTGCCGGTTTCTTCCGAGCTCCACACGAGTCCGGCCCTCTTCTCTTCCCCTCTCGCAGCAAAGCCTCTCCGGTGAAATCCCTGCGAAACACCCAGCCTCTAGGAAAACCCGGACTAACGGACCGGAGGGCTCCGCGGGCAGCGAGCGCACGCTAGGGCGCAGGCGCGAAGCCGAGTGCGCGCGCATGCGCACGGGCGGCCGAGGGCGCGCGCCGGCGTCCGGGCCGCTCGGCGGCTGCGCGCTCGCTTGACGTGTTCGGTGCTGCGGAGGCCGCCAGGCTGCGGGCGGGGAAGCAGCGGCGGGACGGGGCGAGGTGGGGGGCTGAACCCGGAAGTGGGTAGGCGCGGGAGCGAGCGCGCCCGGAGCGGAGCTCGGCGGCAGGGAGCCAGCGGGGGAGCCCTGGGTTCCCGGTAATGGATCTGTGGGGCGTCTGCCCAGGGAATCCGGGCGGGAAGGGTAGCGGGCTTCTGGTCGGCGAGCGCGCTCCCCGCCCCGCCGGGGCCTGGCAGGGCTCTGTGGCTTCCTTTACTCGCCCCTCTGGTCGACCCCGCTCCTCTAGGTCCGCGCCCCTCCTTCGGCCGCCTTCTCCCGGGCGGCTTTGGGGAGAGGGACGCGCTCAGGGTCTGAAAAACTGCCTCGTCTGCCCCTGGGAAACACGTTAATAGACTGAGGTTTTGCGGCCGCTCCGGCTTTATTGTCACTGTCCCGCACCCCTAACGCATGACCACAGCCCCCCCGAACTGCCCTGTCAGTCTTCTTGGAGGGATTCCACCTAATTCTGCTCAGTTATTCCACCTTGTTCGTAAATCAGGCCTGGGAGGTGTGCTGTGTCTTCCTTTAACGTTATTCTTTTGTTGGCTGTCTTTTCTAACCCGGCCCTCCTTGTCCTCCGCCCTAAAATCTTAACCACGATTGAATGTTGTAAGTTTGTCATAATTTAGTTATAATTTAGAATGGATGAGTCGACAGGTTACATGACTGATTTGGAATTGCCTTGGGAGTTAATGGTACGTGATTCTTACACTTTTGCAGACCATGAAACCCACGGGCACGCCCCTCCAGAAGCTGTTGTCCAAGACAATCTAGTTTTCCTTTATAAATCTCATAAAAACCCTTATGAAGTTTCTTGTTCTGAAATTGCTGTACTGCGATGAAGAAAAGGAGAAAGGTTACTTCAAATCTTGACGAGAAGATCCATCTGGGCTACCATAAAGATTCTTCAGAAGGAAATGTTGCAGTGGAGAATGACCAAGTGACCCATACTCATTCTACAGAAAGACCGACTCCTGAAGCTCTCCACTGTTACCAGGAACTTCCTCCCTCTCCAGATCAGAGAAAGCTTTTAAGTTCCTTGCAGTATAATAAAAATTTGCTAAAGTATTTAAATGATGATAGGCAGAAGCAACCATCTTTCTGTGATTTACTAATTGTAGTAGAAGGAAAAGAATTTAGTGCACATAAAGTAGTCGTTGCTGTTGGTAGTAGTTATTTTCATGCCTGTTTGAGTAAAAATCCGAGTACTGATGTTGTCACTCTGGATCATGTAACACATTCAGTTTTTCAGCATTTGCTTGAATTTCTTTACACATCAGAATTTTTTGTGTACAAATATGAAATACCTCTCGTTTTAGAGGCTGCAAAATTTTTGGATATTATAGATGCAGTAAAGCTACTAAATAATGAAAATGTTACCACTTTTCAGTCAGAGCTAACTGAAAAGTCATCACCAGAAGAAACACTAAATGAACTAACTGGAAGACTATCCAATAATCATCAGTGCAAATTCTGTAGTAGACATTTTTGTTATAAAAAATCCTTAGAGAATCATTTGGCTAAAACTCATAAGTCCCTCTTATTAGGGAAGAAACATGGGTTAAAAATGCTGGAGAGAAGTTTTTCAGCAAGAAGATCAAAAAGGAATCGGAAGTGCCCTGTTAAGTTTGATGACACCAGTGACGATGAACAGGAAAGTGGTGATGGGTCAGACAATTTGAATCAAGAAAGCTTTGATAAGGAAAAGTCTGATAGAAATGATTCTGAGGATCCGGGAAGTGAATATAATGCCGAAGAAGATGAGCTAGAAGAGGAAATGTCAGATGAATATTCCGACATTGAAGAACAAAGTGAAAAAGATAATGATGCTGAAGAAGAGGCTGATGCTGGTGATGCTGTAGGAAACATCCGCGAAGGGTTGACTCCAGTTGTCATTCAAAACAGTAACAAAAAAATATTGCAGTGTCCTAAATGTGATAAAACATTTGACCGAGTAGGTAAGAAAGCTTTGTTCTTTCTCTCTAATGATTTACCTTTTGTGTATTCCTTACAGGTGATAATATAAACTAAACTTTCAAAGTAATTAAAAAAGAGTGCTTATAGGCCGGATAATTCAGTGTTTCAGCACACGATTTATCCTGTTATTTTAAATTCGTTGTGAGTCAAGAGTAAAGTATATTTTACTTTTCCTTCATTGTATCATAACAGCGGACAGATCATTAGTTCATGTATTTGGTGTGAAAGACTCTGGAGTATTCATAATGTGAAGCTTTGGCTTATATACCAATTTAATTTCAGATAGAGGTGCTACTTTTGAGTCACTGATTATATCAGATTTAATAATTTGTATACTGTTTTCTCCTTATGCATTGTAGTGTATTTGTTACAAATACAGTCGCTTTTTTAGTATGCAACACTTTAGAATTGGGATGTTTTAGAATAATGTGTAGTAAAGAATAAAATTGTATTGAATATAATTTTATACTGTAAGCAGATAATTTAGGAAGTGCCCTAATTAGTACTACTAATCATTTAATAATGAATAAACCAACTTTTCCACATTAGAAAAGCCTAAGAGATGTGTTCTTTAACTTAAAGATTTTATTCAGTGTGTAATAATTTGCTAGTAAAATAATTTTTAGAAGTGTCTATGAATTATTCTAACGTATAACCTTTGATTGCAGTAGTTAAGCTCTTTACATGTAAATTCAAGTTCTGGAATTGTGAAATATATTCTAACCAGTACAGTGGTAGAATATAGATACAACCTAATCTTGTAAAATTATGTAGTTTAGTTAATGCTCACATGTCTGGTACTGTTGAGTTACTCATGTTATTGGTATAGGTAGAAATTGGTATTACAAGTTTTTGATATTGAGTTACTATCAAAATATGCTACAGTATACACTACAGCATTACAGTGATAACATTTTGCTTTTTAAATCCCTATTGAATACTTCTGAATGAGAACACTTTCAGCGATCCAGTTAATAATTTATTTTTTTACTAAAGCTGTTTAAAAATATGAATAAAATAACTTCTTTAGTAGGTTAGCCAACTGTAAGAGCTTATGTGTATAAGTAACTTGTTAAACAGGCTGATTAATACTGTTTTAGAGCTATTAACATATTATGAGGTTATATAGAGAGGAGAGAATGTTGAGGTATCAGAACATTTCATTTTCCTGTCTGGATTCTGTCTTAGACTTTGTACCCATACCATATGCTTCCTGTATTCTGCCTTAATTAACCTCATTTGACTTGGAGATGACTAAACAGCAGCCAGTTCACAGCAAGCATTATAAGTCCAGTACCTAGGTCTGAAATTATCCCACTTAACAGTGACACTGGACTGTAAGATGCTTTATGAAGGAGAAAAAAATCTGAGTCCCAGTAAGGTTAAGGAAACTAGGAGCTAGGTAGTTTAGTGGTAGATCTGTTGCTTGACTAGCATATGCAAGCCCTGCGCAACACACGAGATGATTGAGTAAACCCATACTTTTATAATACATAGTATCTTCTGCTAATGTTTTAAAAAGAATTTTTCTTAACCTGGCATTCCTTCAGATTTTATCACAAGATACTTTTGAGAATGTCATTTAATGTCCCAGGAAACTAGAGCTTTATACACACAAGTTCAAAAGACATGGTTCAGGATTAAGGTGTGATGTACTAAGAGGAAGGCTGTAAAATGCTTTTTACCAGATTAAGTTCAGATAGATATGGCATCAGCTGGTCACATTGTAGGCTCATCCCTAGTTTAGTTTCAAAGTGTTAATTCTCATTACATTATACTTCTCTTATGCCTATCTCTGTTAAGGTGCTTGCTTTTTACTAGTGCATCCTTATCTCTATTAGTATATTAGTATATATTTCTATGTCTCTCTTTATATCTTGTATCAAACAAGTTAAAAAACATAAGCTGTGTTAGACTGCCTGATTTTTTTAATCCAGGACTTAACTTGTCCACTTGTATTTCTTAAATGAGACCATGCTAATTTGCTGCTCATGGAGGATTATGATAAAAAAATAAATGGGATAAGGAACCACTTCAGATATTGCACAAAATTTCACTGTTCAAGGAATGGTAACTGTTCCTATAATACAGGAATAAAGGATTTATTGTCTCTAATTACCTAACACTTTCATCAATATGAAATGATATTCTCTGTCCTTCAAAATTTTAGGGCTTGATGAGTACATATGGAAAATAACCATATTGTAATAATTTTAACCTTATCAGATAAATAGGACTGGAGTTTAGGAGATATTTCATAGAGCAAGCAGTATTTGAGCTGAGACAATAGGAATTTACAGGTCAGAATTACCAGTGTACAAAGGCATTGAGGTATGTTTGTCCTGCAGATTGCTGAAATGTGGGTGGTTTCAGGATGGACAAAGAATTCAGATGAGAATGATAGGAGAGCAGGATTGTCACAAACTAGTAGGTCAGATTTTGAATGGCTTGTATCAGTGCAGAAAATTTTAGATATTATCTGACCGAAACTGTTGAAAAGAACTTGACAAGAAAATGGCAGCCTATAGGAGTTATGGAAAGAACACTTTAGCTTCATTGTGGAGAAGGAAATTGGTGTGCCGGCCCCACCCCACAGGGCACACTGAGAGGGCAACTGAGACTGGGTGTGGTGGCATGCACCTGTAATCTCAGCTCTTGGGAGGCTATAAACAGGCAAATCACCATGAGTCTGATCTAGTAATGAGACCCTGTAAGCCTTGTAGACCCTTGCCTAAACTACAAAAAAAAAAAAAAAAAAAAAGGAAATTGGGAATGACAAACCTAGGGAGACAAAAAGGAGCATAGAGCAAGGAGCAGAAGCACAAATGTTGCCAAGACCAGGAGGATGAGAGGAACAGAGAATGAAAAAACAAGACAAGGGTAGAACATAGTGTTGTACTACTGAACATTAGACAATGTGGATTGGTGCTAAATAGAAAGAAAAGAATATATAGAACCTAGAACTTAACTGTCCTGTATTTTTATCAGCAGTTTAAGAGCTACCATCCAATCCTCATTACATTCATTTCTTTCATAAGATTTAAAAATTTCTACTCAGATTTTTGAGTGTTACTTTATCTCATTGGTTGTTAATTTTGACTAAATTTGGATCCTGAAGCTTCTGCATTTTACTCATTAGTATCCTTGGCAATATCCTAGATCATTTTTAAATACTGCAATAAAATTCCATCAAGTGCTTGTTTACTTGAATTAAGTGGAAAAGTTGTTAACTCCCTTCATGTTGGACTTGCAAGAAGCCAGTTACACTTCCTTATCAGCCTTTTTTTTTTTTTTTTTTTTGTGGAACCGGGGATTGAACTCAGGCCCTTGCGCTTGCCAGGGAAGCGCTTATTCCACCGAACCATCTCCCCTTACCAGCTTTTAACTTGGCTGGTTTGAAGTGAATTTGAGAGATGAGCCCCACCTGAACCATTAGCTACTCAATATGTGATACAATAATTTACATTACTTTGGACCTTTTATCCTTTCCAATGTACTTAATAGTTGAAGTAAGACTCCAAATCCAGTTATATCTTTCTTTAAGCTACCAGCTGTCCCTTTTTTCACGAAATTTTCATGCAAATAAGAATTTCCTACCACAAAAAAAGAATTTCCTGACCTTTCCCCTTATACCAAAAATCTAGTGGGTAAAACAAAACTAAGGTGACAGATGGAATGAGAGAAATTTGAATAATTTTTTTTGTTGTTTTTTCTACAGAGAACTAAAATCTTTCCTTGGATTAAAATCACAATCTTTCTTCTAGAGGTAAAAAATATTTTGTACAACCCTCCCCTTTTTTTAATTAAAAAAGAGTTACTAGTCCATCTTGACAGAGATTCCACTTAGTTCTTAGTGAAGAGTTACAACAATGGTATAATTTCCTACTTTAAAACTTTTAGCTAAATGTTCTTTATAGTGTGCTATATGAATAAATTCAAGGTACAATTTATGACTTAGCAGTTTGAGATGTATAAAAAATGTTTCTTTTTTAGAAAAACTACATACAAATTCTGATAATTTTGAGTACGGAGGCACAAACTCAAATGTGTTTATCTGAAAATGATTTGAGGCACAGTTCATGATGGTATTTAGTTCAAAAATATTTTGGATGACATTTCTCAATACTAGGTAGTTTCTGTCAGCAACCAAAAGTGCTTGAGTGTAATGAAGTATTCTATAAAGGAATATTTATTTTTTAATTGAAACTTTAGTACATTTGAAATAAACCTTTTGATTTATACTTTATTATTTCCTACCATATAAATATGAATATATGTATATTGACTTTTTCTACTGAGACATAACCCCCCACACACACATGTATACCCTTACTAATTGCTTTAAATGTGCGATTCATTTGGGGATAAACTTTTATCCTCCCAGTAATCTCTGAAAGTCTCCCTGGTTCTTTTAAATCCACCATTCCCTCTGGGTTGTCTCTTCTGTTTTTTTTCAGAATCTCAGAGCCATGGAGATAATAGTTCCTACCAGAACTATGGACATAAACTTTAAATTAATAACAAGAAAAAGGCCTTTTTTCACTTCTGAGGTTCTTAGTGTTATAATTAAATGGGTTTTCTTTGCAGAATATATTTAAAATTGTCTTTAAAAGTCTTTAGTTTTGTCTGAATTTATCTATTTCTATTTAGATTTCTGTTTTCTTTTTCTTGGTTACATGTTTTCAAGTCTGCTCACCTGTAGGAAAATGGAAGCGTAGTAGGCTGGATGGTTTTGATTTTTAACTTAATTGCCATTGTGATAGTTTTAGTATTGAAATACATGTGACTTAATTTTTATTAGCTAAGAAGAAAAGATTAAAATACAAAGAAAATACCACTGAGTATTTAATATAGCATGATTATAGCAAAGACATTTTTGTAGGAAAAAAAATTTTTTTAATTTAAAAAAAGAAAAGATTGTCACAAAATTTCTTTATCCTTTGATTTTTTTTGATACCCTTCCTTTTCACTTGATAATAAATAATGAGATTTACAACTTAGAGTGTTGGTAAATTATCTTTCAATCTTGAGAATCTGTTGTAAACATTCACAGTTAATCTCTAGTTAATAATGAATGAATTCCAAAAATCACTTCATTGATCATTTAAAAATCAGACTGTATATTCTTGATTTATTTACATTGTTTGCCATGAGCTTGTATTATGTACATAGTTTTATTTTGTGTATATATATGTATATATATATTTTTTTTTTTCCTGAACCAGGGATTAAACTCAGACACTGGCTCTTGCCATGGAAGTGCTTATTCCACTGAGCCATCCATCTCCCTGGCCCCTTCTATATAGTTTTAAAAGTGATTTTAAAAAATGAAATGTAACACTTTCATAATCAAGGAAAATCTTTTTTTTTTTTTTTTTTTTTTTAGTTTCATGGATTGACCTCTTTTCCCAGTATTAGAGCTATTCTCTTGATCACAGTAAAAGGAGGAGATGGAGGCAGGCTGTTTATATGAATATGTAAATGGGAAGGTGTGTTCTCTCACTGGTGGAGAGGGAACTGACATACTTGGCAGTGCTGGCAGTGGCAAGTGAAAAAAGCAACATCCTTTCAGTGTTCTCTGAGACTTGAAAACCTACTTATATTGGTTAGAATGCATATTCATAAATTAGGCATATTGTGATTCATAGTTGAGGTGTATATCAACATGTCTATACTATGATCAGTAATCTATATGCTAGCCATAATGCTGTTACTTGTCCTTACTGTATATACTGTCATGCATTATTTACTTTTCAAAATCTGATGAAGTATTACTCAGGTATGTGGAGGTTCAATTATTAGCTTAATGAAGATTACACAGTTTAAGGAGATTATACAAAGTCCAAAATGGCTGGTTTCTGGCTTCCTGCATTTTTACCAAAAACAAAACAAATACAGACCATTACCTACATAGTCTATACCTAAATATCTAATGGATTTTTGTCAAACTTTTTTTAAATTATTAATAGCCTTCTCCTTACCTTAAGGAAAATACCTTGATTTCCTATCAAGTTATGAAAATATGATTATCCCAGTTCTTCAGGCCAAAAAGATTTGAAGCAGAAGTTACCACAGGTCCCATAGCCTACTATTTAAAGAGCCAGGATTCCTATCCAACTGCATGGATCCAGGGCCCATGTGTTTATCTGTGATGTTCTTTTGCCTCTGGAATATAGGTGTTTATGTTCTACATAATGGTGTAAAGAATTTTTTCTAAGACAGTTTTTTTTTTTTTTTTTTTTTTTTCAGTGCTAAGGATTGAATTTTGGGTTTCCCGCATGCTACCACTAAGCTACATTCCCTAGCCCTGTTTTTTACTTTTGAGATAAGTCTGGCTAAATTGTTCAGGCAGGCTATAAACTTGCAGTCCTTTTGCCTTAACCTCCTAAGTAGCTGCATTTACAGGTTTGAACAACAACCATACCCTGTTCAAAACATATCTTTGTATCCTTTCACTCTAACTTTGATCTTTGAGAAGTCTATGTTAAATTTTCTTGGGTATTACTGTTGGGAATACTTTAACACTTTCTGAATGTGTAGCACTGAGTAACACAGATTATGGTGAAAATCTCACATTCTGCTTGACTATCCATTATAACTGTTCATGTTTTCCTGCTTTCTCTTATACCTGGGGTGCCTAACCTTTTAGTGCATTCAGTGACACTAAAAGCCTGTTACAGGTCATGTGCTGTAGGTTTGCCACCCCTCTCTTATGCTATACTATATTTTGCTACTAATATTATTGACTTTAGGAGGTTAGTACTAAGCATAAAAATACTAGTTATTTTCTTGTTTCAAGTTGGAAGGTCTTATATGAGTAGGTTAGAGTGAAGTATATGTCTTGTTCAGTGCTTTAGCTTTATAGTGCCTTTTCTAGATTACCTCCTATGAGAAGAAAAATAAAAATATTACAGAATACAGGTATAAGTATATTATTTCCTTCGTGGTATTTCGATCTACCAATTCCATTTATGGGTATATATATAAAAGTAAAGTATGAAAATAATAATAAGTAAATATTTTGCTAAACCCTAGTGTTAAAATTTTTAAAGTTTTAGAAATTTAGGTAAGGGTTTTTTTTTCTGGTTTTCTGTTTGGATTTTGGGGTGTATGTTAAATTTGCCAGGGCTGGAGAGATAACTCACCACCATAAGCACCTGTCTGGCAAGTGCAAGGTCCTGACTTTGATCCTCAGTACCCCCCCCCCAAAATTTTTTAAAAAATGAATAAAGTTAAACAAATTTGCCAAATTGTGACTTTTTATTCTACTGTCAAATTTCAGTCACAATATATGAAATGTATGATTAATCTTAATTTTCTTTTTGTAGGAAAATATGAAAGCCACACCCGTGTGCACACAGGCGAGAAGCCCTTTGAGTGTGACATTTGTCACCAACGCTACTCCACAAAGTCTAACCTAACTGTTCACAGAAAGAAGCACACCAGTGAAACAGAATTTCATAAGAAGGAGCACAAGTGCCCTTATTGTAATAAACTTCATGCAAGCAAGAAGACTTTAGCCAAGCATGTAAAGAGGCAAGTATTATCTTGCTTCCATAATCTGTCTTTTTTAAAAAAATATTTATTTATTTATTTGGTACAAGGTCTCATTACATAGCTTGGACTTGCAATGATCCTCCGGTCTCAGCTGCCCAGTGCTGGGATTAGAGGTGTACAGTACCACATCCGGTTTCAGTGGCTAGCATTATGTGCCTGGGGTTCCAGGGATCAAACACAGGTTCTTGGTCTTGCCAGGCAGGTGCTTAGACAGCTGATCTATCACCTCAGCCCCATAATTTTTTTTTTTTTTAGGGAAGGGTCTACAGGGTGTTCAGGGTCTCACTACTAGATCGGACTTGTACTGATCCGTCTGTTTACAGCCTCCCAAGAGCTGGGATTACAGGCCTGTGCCACCACACCCAGTCCCAATTGCCCTCATTGTTCCTTGGGGTGGGGTGGCCCAGGATCAACCCCTTGGCCCTTGCACCTGCCTGCAGGCGCTTTAATCCACTGAGCTATTTGGCTGGCCCTCCCATAATCTATTTTATTGTGTCTTCTAATATATATAATGAACTAAAAACATCTATGGAGTGCTCATCCACCATTATTTCATGGCTTATCATTTTGTAGTCTGCAAATTAAGAGCAACAAATGTTTGTTCATATTTTTGTTGCTGTTGACTTGAAATTTTTTGATATTGAAACAATATAGTCTGTAATACAAGAGTTTAATATATAACATTTTGAACATCCTGTTTTCTGTCTTGTGTTTTGTCAGGTACGTGTTTAGAAATACATGGTCTTAAAATGCTAAGAATTTTTTTTATGTATATTCAAGTTTATGTTTAATGTGTAAAAGAGTTTCAGAGAGAATATTTAATATTACATTGTAAATTAACTCTGAAGAAAATAAAATTTACTGAAATAAGAACTAAAAATCAGGTGAATAATATTGTACATTATAAATGCCTAGATTCTGATACATGTTTAAAATATGATTAAAAGTTCCTTTAATTATTGCTTCATCAACTTAGGAATATTGATAAATTTATTAAAAATGGTGATAATACCTGTGTTCTTATCTCATGTGTCTATCTTTTAAAGAAGTAAATCAGTACCTGATTCTTATAATTACTACTGACAGACTATATGGAACATTGACTTAATCTTTTCCTGTATGATTTTTTCTTTGATAGATTTCATCCTGAAAACGCACAAGAATTTATTTCCATTAAGAAGACTAAGAGTGAAAGTTGGAAATGTGATGTAAGAATTTTTAATTTGCATTAAAAAACAAAAATAAATGTAATGTTGCCTTTTAGGAAAGGGACGTAACTAGGTTTCAGGGCAATAAAACAACATAATCTTGCTTTCAAAAGTTTTTTGTTCAGTTACCAAAGTTACTCTAATGTGTTGTGTTTTTTTTTTTTTTTTTTTTTTTTTTAATAAAATAACCTCGTTAAAAATAAATAAATAAATAAAAAACAAAATAACCTCGTTTAGGTTAATTTTCAGATAATGGACCTAAGAATTATTAATGATGGTTTTTTTACCTTTACAGAAATTGCTGGGGCCAGGGAGATGGCTCAGTGGAATAAACGCTTCCCTGGCAAGCGCAAGGGCCTGAGTTCAATCCCCGGTTCCGCAAAAAAAAAAAAAAAAAAAAAAAAGAAAAGAAATTGCTGCATTGTGTGCTTCCTGTTCTGTGTGTTACTGTTGGAGAGCTTAAGATATTAAACACCTCTCACCCCCCATTTCTGGTTATCTGTTGCTACATAATAAGCCACCTCAATGTTAGTGTTCTTAAAGAAGTATTTTGTTTTGTCTTGCCTTTTTATGAGTCAAGAATCCAAATTTGGAGTAGGGTTTTTGCTAGGTAGTTTTTGTATTCCCACAGTGTCAGTTGAGACCATTTAGCTGTGCTAGCTAGTCAATGATGTAGCCTGGTTTGGGGACCCTTCCCAAGTTACTAACCTATGTGCCTGGCAGTTTGGTGTTACCTGATGACCAGGAGTCAGGAGCTTCTTTGTTTTTTTAAATTTTAATTTATTTTATTATCATCATCATCATTATTATTATTTAATTTGGTACAAGGTCTCACTACACAGCTCGTACTCACAGTTATCCTCCTGTTTTCAGCCTACCCAGCGCTGGAATTTCAGGCGGGCACCACCACACCCATCTTAGGGACTGGCTTAGCGCGCTGGGGGCAGGGCAGGCCCAGCATGTGGTGCTGGCGCTAAGCAGAAGCTTAGTCTAGTTTTCATGAGGCTATTTTAGCTAATTTTTAGCATAGCAGTTGGGTTCTAGGACTGAGTGTTCCAGGAAGCCTAGAATAATAAAAATTAAAAGGCTTTTTGTAGCATAGCCTCAGAAGTACCAAATTTTCACTTCTAACCTACTCGTAATCAAACAAATTACTGCAGGCAGACAGATTTAAGATGAAGGTAACTAGACTTCTTTTCTAGTGGGATGCAAGAATTAAGGATATCTATTCTATCACATCCCTAAAGTGTTCCTTTAGTTCTTACACAAATAGCATTTAATATTTAATACTCCTTATCATTCTTATCTCCTTTAATGTTTCAATTTATAGGTATGAAGAAAAAGAGAGGGATATTCAGAACTTTTCTCTAACTTTAGCTTCTATAACTTGAAGTTCCTGATTTCATATTACTTGAATCTTTATATTTTCCCTTTAATGAGTTTCATCATCCTCAGCCATAAAATGATGAATTGATGTTTTGTGAAATGATGGATTGTAATTATATATTATCAAAAATATGGTAACAAAGATAGTCTTTTTTTTTGCATATAAATGGCTTAAACATATATTTCACAGATTAAGGGATTCCTGTCTAACATTGATCTAGGTTATTCTATAGCCCTATTAAACATAGAAGGAGATAAAAGTCAGTTATTTTAATACTAATTTAAAAGAATTACTTACTGTAATTTATACTTTTGGGAGAGGTTTTTTTGGTGGGTTTTTTGAATTCATTTAAATTTTGTGGTGTTTTTTTCTCATTATAAATGTTATGTTTTAATTTTTAATTCTGGTTCATTTATATTTTATGTTCATTCTTATTTAGATTTGTAAGAAATCTTTTACTCGAAGACCACACTTGGAGGAACATATGATTCTGCATTCTCAAGATAAACCTTTTAAATGCACCTACTGTGAAGAACATTTCAAGTCAAGGTTTGCACGGTTAAAGCATCAGGAAAAGTTCCATCTGGGTAAGCAAGATACTCTTCCTTAAAGAAGTTGTGACAGTTACTGTATCATGCCAGAGGAGCCATCTGTTCTTAACCTACTCTTTCTTTTGAAAGTCTAGTAGTTTCAGAGTCATAGCTAAATAACAGACAGATTACAATATTTTTCATTACACCTCCTGCTGCCAAACACACGGCATTCCTGTTATTAACATCCACCATCATAGTGATATATTTGTCGTACCTGATGAATGTCCAAGTTTTGGTGACCATGAGTAAAATTGCTATAACATGTATCTTTTTATGTGGACACAAACTTTCAGCCAAGGAGTATGAAGGCACCAGTAGATGGTAGAAGTATATTTAGTTTGTGAAAAATTGCCATACTATCTTCCAAAATTGCTGTACCATTTTGCATTCTTACCAACAGTGAACGTTATTCACATCTTTGCTTATGTGTTTAGTACTGTTAATTTTCTGAATTTTATCCCTTGTAACAGATGTTAGAATTTGTATTTTCTTGGTGACATATGAAATAGAGCATCTTTTCATATATTTATTTGCCATTTGTATATCTTCTGTGATATTATTTCTGCCATATCATTGATTCATTGTTCATTTGGTTGATTGATTTTTACTGTTGAGTTTTGAGAGTTGTAGATTTCTTTTAAAGTATGTTATCACAGTCTGGCTTATCTTTTCACTGTCTTGATAGTGTCTGTCACAGAAACAATCTTTCATTTTAATGAACTCTAGCTTATCAGTTCTTCTTTCATGAATTGTTCCTTCGTTTTCATGTGTAAAGAGTCATCTCCAATCCCAAAGTTAACAGAATATTTGCCTACATTATCTTACAAAACTTTGTTAGTTTTCCACTTAGGTCTGTGATTTGAGTTCATTTATAAAAGGTGTAAATGAGGTTGTCTTTGTAAATTTTTCCTGTGTGTGTCCATTCGTTCAGTACCTTTTTTTGAGAAGACTGTTTGCTTTATTGATTGGCCTTTACTCCTTTCTTGATAATTTGGTCATATTTATGTGAGTCTAGGTTGACTTGTAGATTATCTCTTTTATTTTATTGATCTTTTTTCTCATTTCTTCTGCCAGTACACTGTCTTGAGTGTTGTTACTGTATAGTCTTGAAGTTGAGTATTGTCAGTTCTTTAACTTTGCCCTTAATATTTTGTTGACTACTCTGGATTTTTTTTACCTCTATATAAACCCTTAATCATTTTGTCAATACACAAGAAATAGTTTTCAAAAATTTTTAAGATTTTTATTAATCTCTAGATCAGGTTCACAATAACTAGTATCTTATCAGTATTGAGTCTTTTAATCCATGAACAGAGAAATGTCTCCATTTATTTAGTTCTGCTTTCATTTCTTTCATTAGTATTTTGTAGTTTTCCTTACACAGATCATATACATATTTTGTTAGAGTTTTACTAAGTTATTTTATTTGGGGAATTGTTGAACCACTCTTGATGAACCTTATGTATTGAAATAGGAAAAGCAAATTATAAATTTAGAGGAGTACTTCTAGGAGATCAGTAAATATGGTGTTGTGCTTTATTTTGGTTGGCAAATGTGCTGGCATAAACAGTGCAGATAATCTACATTTGTCAATTGGATAGATTTATGAGTCCTTGAGATAAGGCATTTTTGCTTAGTAAATCTCATTATCAAAGAATGAAATAAAATTACTATGTGGGGAGTAAAATACTATGTTTGACAAATTCTTTCCCTAATGCCTCTGACTATGGTAGGTCTGCATGGTCTATAGAATAGTATACTTTAATAAATGACAGTTGATCCCAGAGATGAATTGTTATCACACACAGAAGCATTTTTCATGTTCTGTTTAATGCTTTTATTGAAAACTTAAATAAAAATAACCTTACATAAGTAAAAATAAATCTGGTAGATAATATTCTAGATGGCATAAAACCAAAAGGGCCATTTAATATGCAAAAAGTTTTTGTAAAAAATATAAAATGCTAGCTATTAGATCAAAACAAATGAAATTAAAATTAAGAATAAGGACAAAATTGTAGGTTATGAAATGGATCTGACTTTTAATCAATCATTAGGTTTTGGAAAAATTATTATAAAATAGAATATACTCCAAACTCCTTATTTTGGGATGGGTTTAACAGCAAATGTTGTTTAGGCAAAGATATGATGTGAAATGGTAATGTGATATGACTGACAAAACCAATATAGTTTTAAACTATATTAATATATATTGTTCAGGATTGTGGAAGTGGTAGTCTAAGTAGTTTTAAATGGAAAATACATTCATTTTTGCATATAGCATTTAAGATGTATACTCACAAGTAAACTTTAATAAATATGCATTTTAGAGGTGAATGATTTTGGTGACACAGGAACTTAAATCATCTGAAAAACTGTTGAAGTAGTTTGAAAAAGTTTGTGAAGGGAGATGGAATATGTCTATCTTCAGATATTTTCAAGGCTCTTTGATGTAAGAAGATGTTTGCTTTTTTGTGACTTTAGTATATAATGATATTACATGCTAAATTACTTCTTTTTAGTTCAAATTGCCTTTACTGGGGCTGGGAATATAGCTCAGTGGCTTATGCACCTGCCTGGCAAGTGCAAGGACCTGAGTTTGAGCTTCGGTACCAAAAAAAAAAAAAAAGAAAGAAAGAATTGCCTCTACTATGTTATACAGTCATGATATTCCATTTCAGTAATTCTAAGATGTGATTCTATGAAAAGTTTTTATGGTTACTAACTGTAATTTGGAGGCATGTTCATGATTGCATACTTCATGTGAGATATTTCTTTATACTTCAGTTCCAGGAAATTATAGTTTTTATTTGAAAATTAGTAAGTTTTTCTTTATTTTGAAATGAAAACTGTAGCTAATGTTACTATAACAACATTCTAGCAAAATACAGTAATTTTTATAATGGACATTCTAGATTCCACTTTCTTTATCTGTTTCTTTTATTAGTCACATCATTTAGTAAATGAATTAGCATTTTGAGAACATTGAGAGAAAATTCCAAGATGCTAATTTAATGTTTCTATCAAACTTTTTAACACATGTGAGCCTACAAATTAACTTGTTACAATCATTATTTTCTCATTAGCAAAAGCATGTTAGTATCTGACTGTGATATGCTGAATTAGCTCTTTTTTTTTTTTTTTTTTTTTTCCGAAACTGGTGATTAAACTCAGGCCCTTGCACTTGCCAGGGAAGCACTTAATCCACTGAGGCATCTCCTCAGCCTCTTGAGTTAGCTCTTAAGAGTTATTGAAAAGGACTTTCCTGAAAAGAGGCTGAACTAGATATTTTATGGTTTATTTTTTCAATCAAACATGGTGAAAATAATTTTTAATATGTATGTCTATTTATAAATGTAAGAGTTACTGTTTGAGTTTAAAAAGTCAAATCGTATTATTCTAGCCTATCTAGAAAGTTGGTGTCAAGATCTAGTTTAGTGTAAGTTTCTAGCTTAGTTTCATATATAAAAAGTTCAAAGAGGTTTGTTTGCATGCAAAACTGAGTTCACAATATAGGGAAAAAAGCCCTCAGAAATGTGTAGTAGTGATTTTCTTTGAAGAACTCTGATAAATAGCATTAAAGCTCCATTTCTCCTTTTGCCAGCTTTAGTCTTAAACAATATGGATAGTTATTACCTTATAAGAAGTTTTACCAGTAGATAGTTGATTCTTTGCTTACACCACAGCTGTCACGATATGCTTACTTTGAATCTTTTATTTACTTGATCTTTTTATGTTCACCAGTGCAAATATACTCCTTTTGTCAGTTCCTGGGATCATTTTGTGCTGAGAGGCAGGGAGGTTGGAGAGATTTTTAATAGCACCTTGTGCTTAACTAGATATGAACTAATACTTGAATGAGTTAAAAAGTGAAGAAAAGATTCAAATTCCATGGAAAATGTTATATTAGAAATTAAGAATGTTGGAGGGCTTGCTGGTTAGCTCAGTTGTTTAAGTGCCTGCTGAGGCAAACCCAGTCAGGTGCAAGGGACCAAGGTTCCATCCCCAGCTCCCCATGCCTCACTAGACTCGCCCTTACGGCAGCCTGAGCCAGCCAAAAAAAAAAAAAAAAAAAAAAAAGTTGTAGATGCTTAATGCAGTATAAATTTTTGAGGCCATCTCTCATTGTTTTGTATACAAAACTAAATTGAATTTCTCCCCAGGCTACTCTGGCTCCTAAGCAATTTTGCTTGCAGGTGTGTTTGTGAATGCCAGTATCCAAATTGTGCTACTATGGTTAATTCACTACAATTTCTTCTTTAGTTTGCCTTTTCAAATTCTGAGACATCTTCCGAATGTGTTTCTTCCTTGAGCTATATCTACTTTATTTCTTTTCACATATTCTTTTGGGTTGCCATTTAGCAAAACTTATTCTCTCCACTTGTTTTCTTGGTAAAATCATTGTGAATTTCAGAATCCAGCTAAGACAGCCCCATGTTGAGATGGTAATTGAGACTGGGCGTGGTTCTGCATGTCTGTAATCCCAGCATTTGGGAAGCTGAAAACAGGAGAATCAGTGTGAGTTTGATCTGTGTAATGAGACCTGTAGACCCTATACTAAATACATTAAAAAAAAAAAAAAAAAAAAGAATCCAGTTAAGGTCAGTATTACTGTCATGATTTGTGTCTAGATGTCACCTCAAAGCTGCATGCAGTCATGGTAGGCAGACTTTTGCAAGGTGGCTGAATCTAGAGTTTGTGATTGATTCATGGTACAGTGCTGGAATTAAGGGTGTGTGTGTTACACCTGCCCTAGGGCAGACAGCCTGCATACAATATAAGGGACAGAAAGAGCTCTTTTGTACCCTCTCTTTATGTCTGTCTCATTCTCTTTCTTGTTATCTTTGCTGTATTCCACTACCATAAACTATTGTTCTCTGCCATGTGCAACCTGCCTTAGAACCAGACAATTAGGGACTAAAAGCTCTATAAACTGTGAGCTAAATAAACCTTGCCTCTTTTAACTTTGGGTGTTGGGTATTTTATGACAGCAGTGAGAAAAAAATAGCTAAGGCAGAATTTGGTACTGAAGAAGTCATTGCTGTGACATTACCTGACTATATGGCTCAAGAGTCTTTGGAACTGGCTTGTTGGAAGGAGAAGAGTTAGGAAAGGTTCAGATATGCTCCTGATAAAGTAGAGCTGGAACATTTTAGTCTGTGCTATATGGATGATTCTGGTCAGAGTCCAGAAGACCTGAATGCTGATAGAAAGCCTGCCAGTAAAGATCAGGCCAAGGAAGTTTCTGTGGGGCACACTAACTTCATTGACTACTGGATTCCAAATGATCTGTGTTATGGCTTCACAGAAAATTTGTCTGCATTTTGCTCATGTCCAGGGACTTTTCCTGAGAATGAGATTAAGAGTGGTGGACTAATTAATCTTATAGAAGAAATTTCAAGGCGGTGTAATTAAGGAGGTGGCATGGCTTCCACTAGCCTTTTAGCCAGATTTGTGTTGTGAATCAAAAAGAGCCCAGCAGAATGATTTAAGCCATTGTAGGTTTGTCCAGAAAGGAAGCTCCAGTAAAGCTGTGGAATGCAAAAATAGAGCTAAGGAGATCTTGATTGCTGAAAAGGAACAGGGGAATATGAAAGATGGCCTGCTGCCATCCCAAGAATTAGCAGGGTGTACCCTTCGGCCCTTTTAACCTTTGCAGCCTCAAAATTGTGGAAGACTTCTTTGAGAAGAAAGCCGCAGTACACTGTGTTCCAGAATGGAGGCAGCATAGAGAATTTATTCTTTAAAATGGGATTCAGAGTGCTTAGTGTTCCAGTTACTCAATCACTATAGTCAACAGAAAGGGAAATCTGGCTACTACTACAGCTGGCATAAGATCTTGGCATTATCCACGTGGCACTGGTTTTAGTTGCATGCAGAGTGGAAGGGTTATGTGGTCAGGAAGGCTTCCACCAGATTTTAGAAGACCTGGGAGGCTAGGTAATATGTCTCTGAGAAAGCAGTATGGGAAGCAGTGAGTGTGAAGGTACGGTACAGACACCAGAAGTTTGGAGAAACCAGGAGTGTAGGTCAGTTGAGGCAAACTGCAAAGAGGGAGCAGAGTAGACCAAGAGAGAAGCCATGAGAGCTACAACCATCAGCAGTACTCTAAGGCTGGAGCCACCTTTTGGAGTTCATGTCTTGCCACAGATTACCTCAGTGATGCACATGGAACTACATGACCTAATATTTGCCTTCCTGGATTTTGATTTGCTTTGGTTCCATTCCTTTATGTTCCTTGTTTGTAACTTTTGGAATACAAACGTCTGTCTTGTGCCATTGACTCCTGGAAGTGTTTAAATTTCTTTTTCATTTGTACAGGTGCTCATGGTTAAGAGTTTGCCTTAAGTCTGAGGGAAGACTCAGAACTTGGACTTTTCAGTAATGCTGAAACTGTTAGGACTTCAGCAACTCTTAGAGATGATCTACATGCCTTTTGCATAGAGGAACATACATGAGTCTTTCAGGGCCCAGAGGCAAAATGTTACATTTTGTGAGTGGATGTCCCCCTAAAGCCTCAAGTAGTCATGGTGGGCAGGGTTTTCCAAGGTGGCTGAATCTAGAGTCTGCAATTCATTCGTGGTCCAGTGCTATAATTAAGGATGTAGTGCTACCCTGCTCTAGGGTAGGTAGACTACATACAGTATAAGGTACAGAAAGAGGTGAGTCGTTTCCTCCTTTGTTTGCTTTTACTCTCTTCTGCTGCCATGAACTATTGTTCTCTGCCATGTGCCACCCTGCCTTTGAGCTAACCAATTATAGGCTGAAAGGTCTAAAGACTGTGAGCTAAATAAACCTTTCGCACTTTAACCTTGGGTGTTGCATATTTTGTCTCAGCAATATGCAAAGTAACTAAAACAATTACTGTAAGAAATTTGGTTTAATTTTGTAAGGTTATACAAAAATGTGCTGCACTGGTTTCACTCTACTCAGTATCACTAGAACTTGTATAGAAAATAGCATTGTGCAGTGTGATAGAAGTATACAGTGAACATTTAAATTTTTAAAAAATGGCTACAGTAAAAGTCGCATTGTTCCCCTCACAATAATCTCCCTTCCCTGAACGCATTTATCCCATCATTCTTGCCACATTTTGAAGCAGTTCCTAAAGGTCCTCTTTTATGAGTACCTTTATGAGATGCTATCAGATCTACAGTGAATGCTGATGTTGAGTGTTCCCTAGCAGACAGGCAGGATTTATGGTATGTCTTTATCCACTTTAGTCACTCGATCTAACCACAAGAAAGACAAACATTTTGACTCAATTCAGTACATTGAGGCAGCTGTGACACTGCAACTATAGACAGCAAAGAAGACTTCCAGAACTGCTTGAGAATGTGTCAAGAGTGTGATAAATGGCAAGGTGTCTGTCACTGTAGTAAATTTCTGAAATTTAAACCTTCACCATGTCACCTGTTCTGTATTTATAATTGGTAAGCTCTTGTCTCCTTTACTTTTTTCTAATTGGTGGGACAAAATATCTGACATCCAAAATTAAGGAAAGAAAGGTTTATTTAGCTCATAGTTTGTTCAAGTTTCAGTCCATAGTTAGCTGGCTCCAAGGCAGAGTGGCACATAGCAGAGAACAATTTATGGTGGTGGAAAAGAGTAAAACAGTACGAGCCAAAAGGGAGGAGCAGCAGTGGAGAAATAAGAAAGCCTTTTTCCCTTCCTGTTAGTGTATTTTGGCTATCTGCCCCTGGGAGAATGTAGCACTTACACCCATAATCCCAGCAGCACCCACAGTGATAATCCTAGCATTAGATTATGAATTAATCATGAACTCTAGAAGCCCAATGCTCCAGTGATTGCATGAGGCTTTTAGGGGACAACTAGACACAAACCATAAAAGGTCTGTTATTGTTTTCATTTTTTCAAGGTTTCACCTCCTTGTCACAGAAAGTATGCAGTATTTTCTACTTTATTTGATTTCAAAGTAGGAATTGGCCATTTTAGCTTATAATACATTAGTTTATTCAGCTCTTGTTATGTGTCTGTTGCAGGTCAACTCTACATGGCTTTCAGGATATAGAAATGATAGACAGCCATCTTCTAGAAGTAGTCTAGAAGGGAAGAGAAAACTGCTGATCAATACATGCAATGTATTATGTTACATACCCTGGTAGTGAAGGAATAACTTTATAGCAACTCTATTTTAGTATTGAACTTTATTTTAAATACACACTATTCGTTTTATTTTCTTCTTTTGTCTTTTAGGTCCTTTTCCATGTGATATATGTGGTCGGCAGTTCAATGACACTGGAAATTTGAAACGCCATATAGAATGTACTCATGGTGGAAAGAGAAAATGGACTTGTTTTATTTGTGGGAAATCAGTGAGAGAAAGGTAACCAATGTGCATAACTAAAAATAATTAGTACTTTTTATGTTAAAGTAATTATAGCATATAGCTTATAAAGGGGTACAATAATTCAAGACACTCTACCTAAAGTATGAATTACTTTAAAATATAAGGGTAAAAGAAGGAATTCTGTGTACTACAGAAGATGACATGGATTCAGAATTTGCAGATTTAAATGGTTGACATGTCATCTCTGTGTAGTCCTATTAAAAATATATTAAGGATTTATTTTTTAAAGATAGAAAAAAATAGATGTCAAGACTGCAAGGCTTTAAAGCCATATAACAGACAAATCAGTGGTAACTGACTTAGCACATATAAGAAAGGCAAATTCCTATGTGACCTTGGGGAAATACGAGAACCTAGTTTACATTACAAAATCCACACAGTACCCAATACCACTAGAATGCCAGTGAAGGAGCACTGGAGTAAATTCTCTTGAAATTTTAGAAGTTAGATTAGTGAAATCCTTTCTGTAGTCCACATATGCCATTGCTCCTTGGCCACCTTCCCTTTACTAACAGGGAATTTTGGTGTTAAAATATGCCATACTTTTAGGTGATTAGGTGCATCCTCAGTGCTAAGAACAGCCCCAACCCTTCTCCCTACCAGCATTTTGGCTTTTAGATTTTACTTTCCAGCTAGCCAATTAAAATGCTATTTCTGAAAATAGCACAAGGAAAATATTTCTCTTAACAAATGATACACTGATAGAATTGTGTTTTTCTCAAGAGCAACACTAGAAGACAGTGCAGTAGTACCTTCAAAATTCTAAAATAAACTAATCTCTTATGTAAAACTTAACTAAACTAGCAATCAGGTCAGAAGATGAACAGTTTCATTTTCTTGGTGTCTTCAGGAAATAAGCCTTTATTATTTCTCGTAACTAATGAAGTTCGTGCTCTGCTAAAATGAGGGAAAGTGCCTAAAAGGGAAAACAAGCTACAGGAAATAGGAGTTCTAACAATGGGGAGAAGAAAGGGAGTTACCAGGAGGAGGATGAATGAAGATACCAAGATGGCAGATGATATGCCCCATAGTATTGAATACACCTTCCAGGTAGTGGTGTGACTGAAGAATGTGGAAGGTGGTCATTGTCAAGATTTTCTGTGGGCGTGTTTTATCTTTTAAATAGGAGACAGTGCTGGAGGAGGTCTGATTTCTCTGTACTCTGCTTTCTGTAGTACCTCTGTGTCCTAAGGAGGTTCCAATTCTTTATGTCCTTCTGCTTCATTTAACTACAGATGCTCATTTCAAGTCATTGTGTTATTTGGGACTGTCCATGAAAGTTAGAGGTAGGTAACTATGAGCTAAGAAGCAGAAGATATAGAGCCACCTACTTACTTTGAACATGTTTCTGCTAGATTTTTTTTTCAGTACTAGGTGTACACTAGCTCTTTCAGATGTTCCCACTATGGTGAGCCTGTGTTTTCTAATATTCATGACTTTACCCACTGACATACCAGAAAGTCGCTCAAATTCCACCAAACTTTGACCCAGAAATTGTGTTCATATTATTTTTTGTGCCCTTTAGTACTTACTAGTGGCAATATTGTAAGGTTTGTGCTTGCTACTCAGGTTTTCAGAAGTACCTGGTATATTGTTTACACACACACACACACACACACACACACACACACACACACACGTATATAGTAGAACAAAAAAGGGACTGCTTTGTACATGTGGTTATTTCTGAGGAAGGACAAGATTTAGGAGAATCATGTGGAAGCATTTCAGATACCAGTAATTTTCTCATTTTTAATGTATGTATTTGTTTAATATTCTTTATAGTATGTATAAATTTTATATACTCCAGTACATAAAAGTTTCAAAACTAAAGTATTAGAAATGCTGTTTTCTTTAACAGCTGGTTATGATGGAGGAATAGAAAAATCAGTACTACAATGAAACTAAAATTACAGATTGGAAAATTATATAGCTTATTTTATTACAAACTTTTTCGCTATATAGAGATTTCTATAAAAACAAAAAGCAAGTCAGAAACCCAAATAAAAGCTGAGGAGATAGCTTGGCAGTCTAAGCACCTGCCTGGCAAGCACGAAGACCCCGCTTCAATCCCCGGTACTGCATGCTGTGCTGGCCACCGAAATCCTGCATGGTGGCACACACCTGTAATCCCAGTGCTGGGGAGGCTGAGACAGGAGGATCACTATGAGTCTAAATTATGTAGTGAGACCCTGTATCCAAGAAATAAAAAATAAATAAAAATAAAAATAACCATTTTATCTGTATACTATCACTACTTTTAGGGGGTCTAAGAATATTTTAGGAGTATTTTCCACTAAGATGTTTAGAAATGAAACCAGTGCTTGTCCAGTGTTGATGTACCTTATAGAAGAGCACCATCTGCTAGCTGAGTTCTGCTTTCATTTCTTAAACTCATTAAGTAGCAGAGTGATATAAAAATTAAATGATAATTACAGCTAAAAGCCTATAAAAGCCAATCATATTTATCTTTCACTTCCTCCACCCTTACAAAGCTTCACCTTCACTCAACACTTCAGTAAATGAGAAACCCCCAAAATTAGAACTATAGGGTTGCTAGTGACATATTTAGAGTAATGATAGCTGTACAGTGACCCATCCAGAGTCAGTTGGCTAAAAGACTGAGGAATAGAAGTACATCTTCCCATAGGTTGCTTTTTCATTTTCAGAGAGGCATTTGCAACTTTGTCCTAAGCCTTAAGACATTTTTGAAGTAAGTATTGAACACACATTTAGGAGTACTAATAAACTGGATTTGTAAAATATTATTCTACTTAGCAAACTTTACATTATTTTACCTATTCCAGTAATAATTTAGCATTTTTCATTTAATTTCTGAAAGTTTGCTTGTTAAATAATTAAATCTATAAGCAAACCAATGGCAAAGGAGGACAAAGCTAATTTGCTTTATTTATTTATTTATTTATTTATTTATTTTTAAAGATAGAGACGTAAGACGTGCTGTTAGATGAATATAGTGTTAGGAAAAGCAAAAATATTGAAGGAAGAAGGGGGAAGAATTGTGATAATATCTCTTTGCTTGTATATCTTTCAAATAAATATTCTGAAAATCTCTGGGAAATGTATGCATTGGTGTTAAAAGAATTTTAAATGCATGTACTTTTAACACAGAACTACTTTAAAAGAACATTTGCGAATTCACAGTGGAGAAAAGCCTCATCTTTGTAGTATCTGTGGGCAGAGTTTTCGACATGGAAGTTCATACAGGTAAGAAAAGCCATTTTCCTTTATATTGAATAAGAAAAAATTATATCTCCATGATAGTTTTATTTTCTTACTAATTTTTATGTTAAGATATTTCTTAGCCTCTATGATACAGAGTTATGCAAAGAAGAAAACCTTATTGAATAGATTTCCATATAAATATATTCTATATATAAGGTACTAAATATTTTATTAACAAGTTTACTGAAGGGTTTACTAAGTTATCATTACTGAAATTTTTAAAGATTGTTTTTCTTTGAAAATTCGTTAAAATTCTGGTGTTTCCAACTTGGTATATATTTTAAAAGTATTTTTAGCATGACAACAAGATTAAAAACACTTTAATTCTCAATTCTAGAAAATCTTCTAGGGACTTATTTAATTGTTATTATGGCTGACTCTCAGAACGTATTATAGTTTGTAAAATGTTAGGTTTTTTTCCTAAAGATGTAACCTCTTGTGAAATATGTATATAATACTAATTTTTATTAATGGTCTGTAGATTTTAAGTTTTTTTAACCTTTGAAACACTCGGGATTAAACCTATGATCCCACACACTTACCAAGCATCTATCAGTGTGCTATGTTCCTAGTTGTTTTCTAAAAGTTTGAGACAAGGTTTTGATAAGTTGCCTTGGCCACCCTCCAACTTGTGAATCTCCTGCCTCAGCCTTGTAGGTAGCTGAGATTATGGGCATGGACCACCACACCAGGTTTAGAATCTTAGTCTTCAGGCTTTAATATTTACACTTTTGCTTGTAAACTTATCACTAAATTTAAACAAAATGTCTTTCCCTTTAGATGTAGTCTAGTCTGCTTACTAATTTTTGTTACGTTTCCTTTTTATGTTCAAATCAACACTTGTTTTGGCAACTTGAATGGAAAGACTGTTGTTTTCATTAGGGTAGCTAGAAGACTGCGAGGATAAAAACACTTCAAGTTAGATGAAATTTAATAATCTAAACCTTTCATAATCTATTTTAGGGTGACTATAAAATGGCTCCCATTTTGTTCAGTCAATGTGAAGAAAAGTGGTAAAGTGTAATATTCATAAGGTTGAGGTCCACCAGAATACGTAAATGCCCAAATATCAATTATAAGTAGTATTAGTTGTACATAGTAGAGCTAATCCTCAGTTATCTGCTCTGCCATTTACTATTGTAATCATGTAAACACTAAATCCATTTGTCTAATTCCTGAAAAGCATCTAATTTTGTATCTCTGGGACTTGGTTAGTCAGGTAAAGAATTACCCATATATTTACTAAATGTAGCGAAGTAAATAGACTGAGATCTTAACAAGTTGAGATGTATCATCCAGAAATGCTATGAGCCTGTGCAAATGTTGACTTGCATTTTTGGAAGAGTTAAATAAGATCAATTGATAAAACGCTGGCAAGAACTCTGAAAATCATACATAGGAAGCAAATAATATGTGAAGGTGGTTGAGTGGACAGTCCAGTTCTCATTATTTATTTATCACTTATTCATTATCAAGCAGTTTTCTTCTGATCACTGAGTTTCAGTTACCATTTTTTTTTCTCACAGACTTCACTTACGAGTACATCATGATGATAAGCGATATGAATGTGATGAATGTGGGAAAACATTTATTCGTCATGACCACCTCACTAAGCACAAAAAAATACATTCAGGTAAGCTATATTTTGTATCACTAGTTTTAGAATCCTTTTAAAAACAACTGAAAAGAATATAATATTGCATCATAATTATGTTGTAGGCTATAGTTATAATAATTTGGAATATGTTGATCACTTCTTTGTAATGCTGGTTGTAAACTTTTTGGAAAAAGCATCTGGAAAGAAAATTTGATAACATTTTCCATGAAATTTTAGTCATTTGATCAACTTTTGTGGAATGTTGTATATTTAAAGTTTGCTTTTAAACTAATTCCCAAAATTAGCAATTTTTTTTTTTTTTTTTTTTCCAGAACTGGGGATTGAACTCAGGCCCTTGCCCTTGCTAGGCGAGCACTTATTCTACTGAGCCATCTCCCCAGCCCCAGCAATTTTCATGTGGTTTGAATGTGTGTATAATTATTATTGGTGCCTTCCTTAACAGGAGAGATCATCTTAATATTTCTGATTTTTGCTTGTATTTGAGAAGTTGTTGAAACTCTGGTATTTAAAGAGAAATATTTATAATTGGATATTAAAGTTTATGTTATAGTGATCTTTGAAACTGTCATTGGAAAATAGAATCATAATAATCCGCATCAATTTCAGATCTTTATACTGCATATATAATTTTTATATTCTGGGGATTTCTTTCATATTTTCCTCTCAGATTGATGTTCAGGAAGTGCTAAGAGAGCCAACTATGTGAGCACAATAATGGGAAAGAGCCATCTCTGAGCACAGTAGAACAGGTGATTATTATTATTATTATAAGCATAATTTAAATATATATTCATATTGTCACTTTTAAGAGATGCTAAAGGTCTGGTGACTGTTTTCATTGAAGTGAATGCATTGTCATTTTTAGCAAGAGACTTCTAAATTCCTAATTCTAGTCACATGTGTTCATTGCACATTGGCATTCAGAGTGGTTTTTAAACACTAAGATATTGTAAGTAAATGTAAAAATAGAGAATCATCTAGAATTTTCTGTTTGTATGTGTTTTGGCTCATTGCAAACATGAGAAATCCCCATAAGTGAAAATCTTCTAAAAGCAAAGTACAAAGATCTGAAAATGTTCAGGTCCTTTTTTTCAAACAGTAATACAGCCTCATCTCAATTTAATAAATGTTTATTTGAGGTGTTTCATATCCAGACATATAGTCCTAAAAATTATCCTGAATTTTGAAGTAATTTCATTTCTCTTACTCTGTTACATTGAAAGATAAGATTTGATGTCCTCAGCAGAAGGCTGCTGATTTCTTCTGCCAGGGGAAAAGATTCACATGTGTGAAATTAAGTCTGTATTTTTTAAGGAAAGATACTTGAGGAACAGATATAAAGGAAATAATCTAGAATATAAAAAGTGGTTTAATTTCTTGGTATATTTGCCACTGTATGATGTTCCTATTTGGTCATTTGTTTCTGGTGAAAAAAACCTAAAATGCCTACTATAATCAAAATACTCGGGTCTGTATTTTTAGGTGAAAAGGCTCATCAGTGTGAAGAGTGTGGAAAGTGTTTTGGTCGGAGAGATCATCTCACTGTTCATTACAAAAGTGTGCACCTTGGAGAAAAAGTGTGGCAAAAGTAAGTGCAACAGCAGAATTTCTCAGAATTAGTACATTGGCTGAGTCTTTATTGGAGAAAATTTACAGCTTTTCATTTTGTTTAATTAGGGATAGGTCAACTCTTTCTCCAGTTCCTATATCTTCTGTAATCCCTCTATGCTTTTACAAACCTAAAAACATGTTTTTCCTACATGTTTTTATTTAAAGACCAGGAGATGGTAGACACTGACTTTCATTTAAATGCTGAGGCCTTAACGATTAAATTTTGAATTTGCGATTGTTTCACTCAAACATACATTTTAGGGTGAGGGATGTAGCTCAGCAGAACAGAGCCTGCCCGGCAAGCATGAGGTCCTCAGTTCCGTTCCCTGGTACCAAAAAACTCCAAAACTTTTTAAACACAGTGCTATGTTGCTCACTAAATTAAATTTTGAGCAGTTTGTAACTTTATTCTCTTTATGATAAAAATAGAGGGCTTGTACTGCTTTTTATTTCAGTGTTAAATTTATTTTATTGATAAGTTCGAAAGTAAAATTTATGTTAAGTAAACTGATGACAGCAGTGTCAGCTTTTTCCCTATGTTTTTGTTAATGCATATTAAATTTACAAGATACCATGTTTCTTTGTAGGATTTTCATACATTCATATAACATTTCAGTCATATCCATCGCCCTATGACCTACACTCCCTTAGACACCGTCCCCCTTCGTCAATCCCCTTCCTCTTGTCTAATGGTTTTCCTCCTATTTTCATGTCACCTTTTTGTTTTGCTAAATTCCACTTAACGGGAAGCATGTGAAACTTGTCTTATTGAGCCTGCCATTTCAGTTATTGTAATGTAATCCATTTACCTCCAAAGATGTTATTTTGTCTTTATGGCTGAATAATAATCTGTTTGTTTGTTTTGTGTGTGTGTGTGTGTGTGTGTGTGTGTGTGTCTGTCTGTCTGTCTGTCTGTCTGTCTGTCTGTGTCTCTATGTGTGTATTACTTTTTTTTATCCATTTATCTTGGCCATTGTGGATTGTACTGCCATAAACGTGGGTAGGCTGACTTTCATTCCTTCAAGTATATACCAAGGTGTGGCATAACTAGATCATATGATAGTTTTGCTTTTAGCTTATTTTACTGATTTCTCTAATGATTGTAGTAATTTATAGTCCCACCAAAGATGTGTAAAAAATTTTTTTCCCCACACATGCTCACCAGCAGTTACTCTTTATGATACCTATTCTGATTGTGATGGGATAGAATCTCTGTATAATCTTTATTTGTAGCTCTCTGATGATTAAAGATACCAAACATTATTAATGTAATTATCAGATATATGTATTTCTTTTTTTGAGAAGTGTCTGTTGAGTTCATTTGCCCATTTTTTATTAGATAGTTCTATTGAAGTTTAATTTTTTAAAGTTCTTTAGGTATTGGTAGTGGGAGTATTGATCCTCATTTGGAAGAATAGCAAAGATTTTTCTCCCATTCTGTAGGTTGTCTCTTGACAACCTATTAATGTTTCTTTTCCTATGCAGACAGCTTTTCATTTGATGCAACCTGATTTGTTGATTTTTGTAGTTGTCTTCAGAGCTGTTAGAGTCTTATCTAGGAAATCTTTATGTGTACCTATAACTTCAAATGTTTTCTCCTGTTTTATTGTGTTTCAAAGTTGTAGACTTTTTACCTAGGTCTTTGCATTAAATCCATAGATTGCTTTCAGTAATGTAGCCATTTTAACAGTATTAATTCTGCCAACCCTTGAACATGAAAGAATGTCTTTCAATTTGTTATGTCTTCCTCAATTTCTTTCTTCAGTGTTATGTAATTTTCATGGTAGAGGATTTTCATACCCTTGATCATATTGTTTCTTCAGTATATTGACTCTTAAACTACTCTGATGAGATTGAGCATGTTCAGGGTGGTAAAGGCTGTAGACATCTTAAGCTACTCTGAATTGAATTCTTTTTCAAAAAAAATTTTAGTGGGTTCATTATTGGTGTATAAAGTTATTGATTTTAATTTTGATGTTGTATTCTGCTCCTTTGCTGAATTGTTACTCATATCTAAGTCTTTTGCTTGAGTTTCAGGGTCTTTTAGGCATAGCATCATATAATCTACAAATCAGAATAACTTGACTTCTTTCTATTGAATCCTTCTACTTTTCTTGCCTAATTGCTGTAGCTAAAATTTCAAGCACAATTTTTAATAGGAGTGACGACAGGAAAACCTACTCTCATGCCTGAATTTAGAAGAAATGCTTCCAGTTTTTTCCAGTTTAGTATTATGGTGGCTATGTGTTTATCATAGTGATAGTTTTTGTTGTGTTAAGTATGATCCTTCTATACCTAGTTTCTTTTTTTTTTCCTGCAGAGCAATATCAGCTTTTTTGTGAATGCAGAATTTGAAATTATTGCTATTTCTTTTTAATCATACTTAGTACCTATTTACATAAAATGTATTCACTTGTTTTAGTATATAATTTAATACTTTTCACCACGATCAAAAGTAGAAGAGTTTTATGCTATAAAAATTCTGCTGTCACTTTTTACTGGTACTCTGTAGTGAGTCCTTCCTTTCTTTTTCAGTTCACTATTGATGTGTTTTTGTTCCTACAATTTTCCTTTGTACAATTAATGGCTGATAGTAATAAAAGTTCAGCAAGTCAAGGCAGGACATCTTTTTATAGATTTGATTGATGAATATAACTGGAAGAGCAAGAACTAGAGGCAGTATCCAGTATTAAAATACTTGTTTCTACTGGTTTGTATGTTTTACTACTGTGGTAATTAAATGTAGGATTATAAATATGTAAAATATTTTCATTGTTATTAAGGTTATGCTGAAACTAAACTTATTTTCTTAGATATAAAGCGACATTTCATCAGTGTGATGTTTGTAAGAAGATTTTTAAAGGAAAATCAAGTTTGGAAATGCATTTTCGGACACATTCAGGTAAAACTTCTTGAGCATTATATATATAAACATATATATATAATATATATATATATATATTATATATATATACACACACACACATTTTATGTAAATTATTTAGCAGTAAAACATGTTCACTCAGGTCAACAATTTCTGACACTGCCAGTCAAGAGGAAGACCCAATGCTATTACGGACTACTGGACTCTTTTAGAATATTTTGCTGAGTTAACACACCTATAATATTCAAATAACTGAACTAAACAAAAAAGGGGATACAGATGAATGTCCATTTTGTATCTGTGTATTCAAAATGGTTAGGATAGATATATAGTTACATTCTCTTAATGAATAGAGGGATTTGTTGTAATAGTGTTTGTAAATAGGATGTCATGTCTGCATCTTGTACAGATAACCTCTAGGAAGAGAGTATGCAATGTGTTAATTACTGAAATTGACCTACCAATTTGATTTGAAACTGTCTCATTGCTATTTGTCTCTCAATAAAATTATGGGAAAAAAAAAAACATGTCCATATATGTTCTTAGTGGAATATTTTTCAGCATTAAGAGTTGTTCTTATTACAGCTGGGGAGATGGCTCAATGGAATAAGAGCTTCCCTGGCAAGCTCAGGGGCCTGAGTTCAATCCCCAGTTCTGCAAAAAAGGAGTTGTACTTATGGCAGGCACAGTGGCTTTCACCTGAAATACTAGCTACCTGCTTATTTTCTTCTCTTTTATTAAAAAGGAATAATAATGATATGCCCTTATTGTTCTGTTTACCAAAGTCAGTACTGTATAATTTTCCTTTGTATCGGTTAATCCTGATATATAGGTAATTAATGTTCAATATATTCTGAAGTTTTCATTTTCTTTTTGTTATTTCTGTGGTGTTTTTGAAGTGGGGTCTCGCTATGTAGTTTAGGTCTCAAACTCAAAGTGACCCTCTTGCTCAGCCTCCTGACTGCTGGGATTACAGGCTTATGCCATCACACCTGGCCTCATTTTTCTAGCTCTTCCCTTTTTTCCCTGTTTGGGAAGCAGTTACAGTTTGAAATTTAGACTGTGTTGAATTTTTGTCTTAGTCTTTTTTGCCTTCATATGATGTTACCAGTTTTTTTTTTTTAAATTTGAAGAGAAAGCCCTATTTATACAATTATAATTGTTTTGTTCTATACTGTTTGGATTTTATCAAGTTGCTATTCAAAAAGAGAAAAATAATTCATTTCAAAAATTTTAGAATGTCAGATAACTGAATTTTAGGTTTTAAGCATCAAAGAATTACAAAGATTTATTATCAGTGCAGTGCTGTTATTAAAAAAAAAATTATACCTTTCTCCAAATGAAAAAGTTGTAATGGGGGGGGGCACATATGTGGAAATGTAAACTGAGCAGACTGAATTCTGAATTCTGTCTTCTACACCAGTTACAAGAAAGCAAGCGCCTAGTGGAATTTATGACTGGAAAGAGATGGTAAACTTACAGAAAGTTTATTTGAGACCATTGATGATTTAAGAATTATAAATAAAGGAAATCTTTAATAATAGTGATTGAATTGCATTAGAATTTTTGAAAACATTGATTTCTAGCACTGTAATTTTGTGGCCAATAACAATATATAATTCCTACTAGATACAGTTACACGTTGTAATCTCAGCACTTGGGAGCTGAGGTGGGAGAATTATGATGAGTTTGAAGCCAGCCTGGGCTACATAGTAAGTCTAAGACCTGAGAGTGTAACCCTGTCTCTAAAGGCCAAAAGAAAATAAATAAATGTATATTTTGAAATCAGGGCCTTATGCATAGTAGGCTACTGAGTTCTATTATATGTATATAATTGAAATTAATTAATTTAATTAAATCTCTGCTTTTTGAAAATTGAGTTATAGTAATTATCTGTGTTACAGAATAAAACACACTATCGTTACGGAATGAGGAGAACAAGTTTAAAGCTGGGGTCAGCAAACATTTGTACAGGGCCAGATAGTACATATTTGAGGCTATGTGAACCAGCCAGTTCTGTCAATTGCTTGATCTGTTCTTGCTTCATGAAAGCAGTGCAGACTACATGTAAACAATGAGTTGCATTTTAATAAAATTATTGACAAATGCAGTACAGGCAGCAAAACCTGTTGTCTTCTTATAGGATATAGTTTGTGACCTTTTAAAATGGTCAGCAGGATACTTGGACAGGACCTCACATAGTGGCTGCTCCAAGAGCTGAGTACTACGTGCCCAAATTCATTTTTGAGACATAGATCCACAAGCTTGATTTTGCCAGTGTGTGAGAGTTACAAGTTTTTTGAATATTTCATAATAATCATTAGAAATAGATTAATGAAACCATTAACTTACTAATCTTCTACAGAATGAGACTTTAGTATCTGTTGGATAGAATGACTTTATCCAAGAGAGTAGCGTTGCTACCTTTATTAATCCAGAAGGAAAATTGACAAATGTTGACACAGAGTAAAAGTAGGTAGTAATTTTATAGAATGGAAATAATCAAGGGCATTGAACCATTATTACCTTTAGAGTAATTTTGTTCTCCTCACTCTTTTCTGTAGTCAGCATAGTCTTAGTGCCCTACATGTGCTGCTCAGTTCTCATACCGTGGTATCTCCTTACTAGGTCTTCTGTTGTGTTACTATATCCTTTCTGCACATAAGGTACAGTATAATAGATTAGTTAGAAAGCATAAGCTTTTTTTCCTGCACATGGATTATTCTCATCCATGTGTTTTGATGGTATAATCCTAAGAGAAGTGACTATGTTTTATGTTCATTTTGTTGAAATATCGTACATTAATTAAAACTGGCATAAAGCTGACATCAGATTAAGGAGTTGATTTTGCAACTTAATTGATTTTCTCTTTTAACTCAGGGTGAATTGACTTTGAATTTGACTTTTATTGAACCATTACATTGAAGTACACAGGCCTTATTGAGCAGCTCAGTGAATTTTTATTACAAATATTTCAACATAGCCACAACTCCAATGCAGCTGTAGAACACCACTAGGACTCAGGAAACATCCTTCATGGCCCTCTCAGTCAATAACCTCCTTGCAATGATAATGATTATTTTTACTTATGTCACTAAAAATTGGTTTTGCTTGCTTCAACCTCAGATAGATAGAGTCACATAGTATGTACTCTTCTTTTAAAATCTGTCTACTTTGGGTCAGTAGTGGGACTGTGAGATTATTCTACAGCAATAGTTTACTTTTCTTATGATATGAACATACCATACTTATTCTATTCTACTCTGGTGGACACATAGTCTGTATTTACGTGGTTCTATTAAGAACAAACCTCTCACATTCTTTTCCATGTCTGATAGGTATACTTCTGGCCCAGGATTCCTGGCTCAGAAAAATCTAAATGTTCTACTTTAATAGAAACTACACTACTAAGCAATTTTTAAAGATAGTTTTATTGATTTACACTACTACTAGCAGTATAAGAAAATTCTAGTCACTCCATATTTTCACAAACATTTGATACTGTCTTTTTTTTGCTAATTGATGCTTATATAGTACTATCTGAAAATATCTTTATCTCTGTGATGAGTAATGATGTTGAGCACCTTTCTACAATTCATGTCCTCACTGACCATTTGGTTATCTATTTTATAGAATCCCAGATTAGTTTTTCTATTCATTTCCTCAAATTGGATTGTGTGTTTTCTTTTTTCCCTAATCCATTTGTAACTGTTCTTTGTATATTCTTCACATTATTTCATTGTGTGTGTGTATTTGTATGTTTTTCAATCTGTCTCCTCCCCCTTCTTCCCCCCACCCCACTCATCCTCTCTCTTTCTCATTACCATCTATTCTTCTTAGCATTTCTGGAATTAAACCCAGATTAATTTGGAATATGGTATCCTTTTAATCCTATCATGATGCACTCAGGGTGTGCTACATCCTATATGTGATAGAGTACCACTTATCTTATACAGTCAAATTAAATTTATTTAGATTTATTGGCTTTTTGTGGAAGAATTATACTGCCTATCTTTATTCTGTTGTCATGTTCCCATTAAATTTTGTTGTTATAATTGTGAAGGTCTCAAAAAATGACTGAATAATAATATATCTTTGTTAGTTACCTGGAGAAGTTTATGTAAAATTGGCATCATATTGTGATTAATGTTTGGAAGAATTCACTGATGAGGGGCCGGGGAGATGGCTCAGTAGAATAAGGTGACTCAGTTCACCCCGGGGTTCCGCAAAAAAAAAAAAAAAAAAAAAAAAAAAAGTTCACTGATGAATCCCTCTGACTTAATTATTTTCTGTAGAGAAAGATTTTAGTTTTTTATAGTACTAGGAATTGAAATCAGGGCCTTATGCATAGTAGGCTACTGAGTTACATCTCTAGCCTAATTAAAGATTTTTAAAAATAATTATAGAGCTATTCAGCATTCACCTTTTTTATCTTAAGGGATTCTGTTTGAAATAGAAAGCTACCGGCAGAATTCATGTTTTTTTTATTTTTGATAATTATAGTATCTTTCATGAAAAACTTTCTTTATTCCTGTTGCTAGTAATATATTTTTTCTTTCTGGGGATTTACGGATTTTATTAATCTTTTCAAATAAGCAGTAGGTGTTGTTATTTTTTTCTCTTTAAAATTTGTTTTTCATTCTTTATGTATTTTCATTCCTTGTGTATTCTTTGGGTGTGACTTCTTTTTTGTCTTAGCCTTTTTATGTAGATACCTAAATTTACTTTAAAGATATACATTATTCTCTATATTGCTTTAGGTATATTCGTACCTCAATTTCACATTCCCACTATAATTCAGTTAAAATATATTCTAACATCTATTCTGATTTTTTTCTCATTCACAGTTTACTTAGAATTATTCTTCAATATCTAAGTATTATGATATTGATTTCTAGCTTTGCTATACTCTGGAACAACACTCAGTTTTTCACCATCATACTTTTTTACTTTTTTTTACTTATTCTACAGGATCCTGAGAAATCTATATTAAAATCTCTAACCTAACCATCATTATA